CATCACAAACCAGATACTAGTGATTCTCTGAACTATTCCCCACCCCCAGTAAAATAAATAAGGACAACACTGTAAAAGACTGTCACAAACTCCTCTAAGGTTTTTTTTTTTTTCTAAACGAATATAGATAATGTGAAACATACAGAAGGAACGTACAAATATGAAGAACTTTAACTAGAATATAAAAATAGCATCTTTAGGAAGAATGAACTTATGTACAATTAGACCTAACTATGAGGTCATACTTTTCTCAAAGTTGTGTCTAAAGTTTCATACGAATCTAAGATTTTTTTTTAAACAAGAAAAAAGAGAAAGAAAGAAACAGACTATACAAGGGCAATGGTGATCTGATAAAGAATCTGCCAAAATGAAGTCTTAAAAATGGAAAATAGTGTAGTAGGCTTCCAGAGTAAATAATTCAAAATCCACAACATTAACTATATGGTGGCTTTTATTGGTTAATGAAACCATTACACTGTTGATGTTTAAAATAGCCAGGTACCAACATATTTTTCTACTGTAACTTCCAAACGCCTATGTATTGCTGTTATAAAGGACTAATTTTATGGTTAGAAAGATACTTAAATACTAGTGATTTATTACAGGCCTTTATTTTCAAACCAAACATTGAAAGGCTGAACTGGTCTAAAAAAGGCTCACACCTTATAGCAGCGGTCCCCAATCTTTTTGGCACCAAGGACTGGTGCATCTATGAAAATCTAATGCCTGATGATCTGAGATGGAGCTGAGGCAGTGATGCTAGTGCTGGGGAGCAGCTGCAAATACAAATGAGTCTTCACTAGCTGGCCCACCACTCACCTCCTGCTGTGTGGCCCGGTTCCTAATAGGCCATGGACCAATATGGGTCCCAGGCCCAGGAATTAGGGACCTCTGTCTTAGAGAACTAGCCACACCAGGTGTGAGACCTTGCTTATACTCTGAGAATACTAGCAACCAGTCCAGAACTTTGAAGCCATCCAATTACTGCCCACAATTGCATTTCCTCACCTCCTCAGAGACCACCGCGCCTGGATACCTCTCACTATACTGCATCAGATAATCTCCAATTACAGTTCACTCGCAGTACAAGCCAGATAGATCTAACCTAACATCTATAAGCTACTGAACAGGGTGACTGAGCATTTGTTGTTTTTTTTCCCCTCCACTTCAAAGAAGAAATTATGATCTATAATCAGCAGCCTGGTTTCACTGCTAATTTTCTGGGAGAAATTGGAGAATCACTCAAAAACATTCCATTCCACCTCTAATTCCCAAATAAAATACTAGGAGTAAGCTCTAACTCCCAGATGCACTTGGCACTTGTAGACATGGATGAAGGGCCTCGTACAGCTGAGTCTTCCCCATAGATGATGTTTACCTCTAAATGTTGAGGACACGGACCCATGAAAATAGTCCTTTATTAATTGGGTAGCTTGATCAGAATAAGCACTTATAGACCATCAAAAGAGATAGAAATAACCATTGGTTAAGAACTTCTATTGGCCTTTGGACTTGGCTTAAAAAAAGGGTGGAGGGCACAACGAGACACCACTGCACATCTATTAGAATGGCCAAAATCAAAAACATTGACAACACCAAATGCTGACAAGGATATGGAGCAACAGGAACTCTTTTTCATTATAGCCAGTTTAGCAGTTTCTTAACAAAATTAAATGTATCCTTACTACAAAATCCAGTAATTGTGATCCTTGCTATTTAACCAAATGAGCTGAAACCCTTTCTTTCCACACAAAAACCCGCCCACAGATGTTCACTGAAGGTTTATTCATAATTGCCAAAACTTACCAAGTCCTTCAGCAGGTAAATGGATAAACCGTGGTATATCCAGACCATGGAATATTACTTAATGCTAAAAAGAAATGGGCTATCAAGCCACGTAAAGACATGGAGGAAACTTTAATGCATATTACTAAGACAGACACCAATGAAAAGCTACAACTCTGTACGATTCCAGCTATATAACTTTCTGGAAAAGGCAAAACTATGGAGACAGTAAAAATATCAGTAGTTGCCAGGGGAAGAAGGAATGGAAATACAGAGCACAAAGAATATTTAAGGCACTGGATCGACTCTGTATGATACTATAATGAAGGATACGCGTCATTATACATGCGTTCAAACCATAGAGTATACAACACCAAGAGTGAACGCTAATGTAAACTATGGACTTTAGGTGATTATGATGTGTCAGTGTTGGTCCACTGGTTGTAACAAATGTCCCACTCTGGTGGGGGATACTAATAATAGGGGAGGGCAGAAAGAGCAGGGAGTATATGAGAAATCTCTGTACCTTCCGATCTATTTTGCTGCAAACCTAAAACTGCTCTAAAAATAAAATCTGTTTTTAAAAAAAAAGGAAAAAAGAAAAAAGAGGGTGCCTCTCTCTGTTTCAGGGTATGGCTGCCTGGCAATGTACCTTCCCGAACACATTCAGGAAAAGACATTCATAGTCACCTTTAGTGCTCAAGAATGCAACAATTAATATTAGAGGAACTAATAAGAGCCAGGAGAGCAAGTAATAGGATTATGATACGATCTTTGCTTCAAATTAACAAAAATAGTGGAAAAATCTAGCAAAGCCTTCACTTACTTGAACATCTAGACCTTGTCACAAACTTCTTAGGCAGCTATTAGCAAGGGCTATGTTTAAGTTAAAGTAATCAGGGGTTATGTAGCTTAATCTTGACAAACAATGACATGGCATTGTTCAAGGGACTCATATCCACGGATCCATTTCATGCAGTTACACATTTCTCCTCCCAAATGACAATCCACCCTAACACAATCTGGGTCCAAGGTCCGTTAACAAAATTCTCAAAAACTTAAAGGAATCTCTTCTTTGCATATGTCTTAGTAACCATCTGCCAAGTACTAGGGAACCAGATAAACCGCAAGCACTTTTATTTGTCTCCCTGAATATATCAAAGATTAAGGAAGAACTGAGAGGCTTCTGGTACTTGTAAGCTGTCATCTAAGGCAATTTTTAAACTTTACTCAGTAAGGCCACAAAGTATATTTGGTTGGATGTCAGCTGTAGCTAAGGGTAAATGCTAAGAAATAAAGCCACCACCTTACACTCTTCAAGCCAAATGTTCAGAAGGCCTCTGATCTTATACATCAGGAATGAAATTGTCTGTGCAAAACCAACGTGTTTGTGTACAATTTACAGACCTACTTACAATATGGTCAAGTATCAAACAGATAACCCTTTCATAGCATCTCCAACCCATGTTCTCCCTCCCAAATAAACAAAAACAACCTGAATTGCTCACTGTATGCAAGAGGCTCGAGATTCTGCTTCATATGTTTTACTGCTTTCTGTGGTTCACATTCTCCGAGACTAACCCTCTCATTTACTAACTCAAACCTTAAACTGCTTCCACCAACTTCTCCCTCTTCTCAAACCCTCACTCAGTGGACAACTCTCTTGGCCAAGAAAGTTACAGAGGAGGCTTGGAAGTGGCTGCCTCTGCAAATTCCTCCCCCTTCCTACCAAAAGGGCACCTCAAAAACTTCACAGTTCCAATTCCATTCACCAAGACTGGTGTCTTTCTACGATCAATTTCTATTTAGGCTGCCAATCATACTGAAACTTTGGTGGCAACCTGCTTTTTAAACAAAATTCATTATGCCATCCATTTCCGATGTATAAGCCAGATTTGGGAGCCGATAAACGCCCACTCACATATACACACTCCTCCTCCAAAGACTTTCCTGGCACAGGGGCATCCCAAACTTTCCCCAGTTCATTTCCACAGTGTGATCTTTGATCCATGCCCCAATTCATGCCTTTTTGTCCATCTGAAGTTCAGTCTATCAGCCATTGTGCAGCAGCTACAGCAATTTATCCCCTTGATTTCTTAACATGTTCTTCTCCGCTCCTCGCTGGGAAACTGTTTTGATCTGAATAGAGTTGTCTGTGTGGGGATTCTGCATGTTAATGATGCGGCTAGCTGGCAGGGATGTTAGGTGAGAGCACACAGTGTACTTTTTCCAGTTATGTTTCGCTCCATCACAACTATAGTGGCCTTTCTAAACGCCTGCTACACTGGGAAGGAGACCTACACATCTAATCCTACCCTCTCCCGGGGAGCCTCTGGGGGACGGCTGGAAACAGAACAGACAGCCAGTTCTCCAATCAAATATCTGGACTCAAAGGCAAAATACCCCCAGACACCTCACCACCAATAAAACAAACACACGTACATCTTGCTCAGCGAAGGAGTCGCTACCCTTCACTCTGCTTTCAGCCTGCCCAGGTTTCATACCCTTCACTCTGTCCAGGCCAGTGTAAGTTACTGCATTCTCCCGGCTGTATACCGCCTCCGCCACCACCCACCTCCACCCTCCCTACCAAGGAAAGGACTACCAACGGAGGTAGGAGCATCAGCTCCGGTACCCGCCCTTCCCTCTCGATCCTGGCCAGAAAACTCCACTTCCCGGATTCCCAGCCACTCTCTCCCGCCTCCTCCCGGGGCGATCCAGCTAGCGCCGTCCTGATGCCAGCAAAGTGCCCAGCCCAGCTGCGCACCCCCCGCACCTCAAGCCAGGCCCCCGGAACAGGCCCCATCTTCCTCCCTCTCCCCCAGCATAGGGCTCTCCAGATTGTGGACGCACCCCTCAGGCAGGCTAGGACTGAAGAAGTCCCACCCCGCCCCCCAGCCACGCCGCCAGCCTCCAGCTTTGACCGGGAGGGGCTTCCTCCGCAGAGGTGAAAAGGGAACGCGGTTGGTTGTCCCAGTGCCTTCTCCCGCACCCTATGAGGGGCCCGGACTCCTGAAAAGGACAGACCCGCGCGCCCCCGAAGGGACACCATCCTCTCCCCCACCCTCCGGAGGCCGGCAGGTCTCGGTAGGGACTGTGCTCGCTGCGGGTCCCTAGGAGCCTCGGGGAGCCCAGGGGCTGCCCGAGTCAGGGTGCAGCTTCTCCCTGGGGCGGGCGGAGGTCGGCGCTGCGGCGCGCCCCCGGGGGGCACTCACGATGGTCACGCTGGCTTTGCGCAGGTCGCGGTTCTCCTCCTGCAGCGCCTTGCACTTGAGTTTGTACGTCTCCAGCTCGATCTTCAGCACCTTGTTCTCCTGCTGCAGCGAGGCCAGGCGGTTGGTGAGCTCCTCCAGGCGGAACGGCGAGATGACAATGCCCCCCGATTTCCCACCGCCGCCG